CCCCCCCCCGCCCTCCACCCTCCCCGTCGGGGTTGGGTTTTCGTCGCTTGTCAACGATGTTGATAAACAATCCAATTCACTTCGTGAGCTCGGCAACCAGATTGCGGTTTTTTTTTTGCGACAAACATGAATGGTGGTCGAGTAGATTTTAATGTGCAGGGTCACTCCGCGCAAAGGGGATAATCATACCACGTCGTGTTAACATGGTCAAGCACCCTCGGGGCAGTTGCACAGTGCTTACAACTGTCTCTTAAAGTGAAAGCACCAGAAGAAAAAAAGTCATACGCAGCTGTCATCCGTACGCAAGGAAGTAAGCACAAGATGCCGAACACCCTTAGCAGGATGCAGCGCACCCTTCATGCGACTCGCCGAATATCTCACGGCGCTTCGCGCTTGGTGATGTGAGAGCCTGGTCCGGTGAGAACCCGGCGTGCTCCGTCCCGGCTTTGAAGGGATGCGAGGTCAAAGGTCTAACGACTGCGGCATGCACGACTATGAGTACCCCCCCCCCCGTCGGGGCTGGGTTTTTGTCGCTCGTCAACGATGTTGATCAACAATCCGATCACTTCGTGAGCTCGGCAACCAGGCTAACGATTTTTTTTTTTGCGGCAACCATGAATGGTGGTCGTGTTGATCGTGTTGTGCAGGGTCGAGAACCCTCACTCCGAGCAAAGGGGATAATTGTATCACGTCGTGTTAAAGTGGTCGCGCACCCTCGGGGCAGTTATACAGGCTTGCAACTGTCTCTGGAAGTGAAAGCAACAGAAAATAAATTAAGTCAAACGCAGCTGTCATCCGTGCGCAAGGAAGTAAGCACAAGATGCCGAACACCCTTAGCAGGATGCAGCGCACCCTTCATGCGACTCGCCGAATACCTCACGGCGCTTCGCGCTTGGTGATGTGAGAGCCTGGTCCGGTGAGAACCCGGCGTGCTCCGTCCCGGCGTTGTAGGGATGCAAGGTCAAAGGTCTAGCGCGACTACGGCATGCACGACTATGTACCCTCCCCCCCCCCCACCTATTGTTGTTCACTCTTCGCCGATCAACTTTTTTTTACCAGGGGTTCGCGGCGGCGGGGGACCCTCGAAACACGGCCTCTCTCTCCGACGAGATGAAGAGCCGCGGCATAGGCATGGACGTGGTCAGCTACGGGACTGCTGTGAGCGCTTGCGCCAAAGCTGGAGACGTCAAGGGGGCGCTGAAGCTACTCAAGGTGCGGTGTGGACATCAATGTAGTTGAAACATTTCTGAGACACGGACGGCGGTTGGTGCGCCAAACTTGATTCTGCAGCGGGCCGTGTTTCTTGCGTGCACGTCTTACGATCCCTCTGTCGTCGGCTGCTGGTAGAGCTGAAGCTCACCAGCAGGTGCAGCGGATTTCGTCACCGTTCAAGAGCATTATGAAGCGGTTCTGTTGTAAGGAGCCTGTTGTTCTCGACTTCATGTGTTGCCAGATTGATGGCAAGCGAGACACTGGCAACTCTCGTCGATGGGTTTCGTCTTCAAGGCTGAACTCGCGCTTACGTAATCGCAATGGGACCGCACGAGCTATTCCCAACGACCAGTTTGCGATAGCGGTGACGGTTACTCAGAGAATACCAACGGAATGTTTTGCACGGCTCAGGCGCACGCAGATTCAACCGGCATGTTGGCGTACCTTCGTTTTTGATGTGTTTTTTTATGAGCTCCGATAGGAAACTTAGTACAGAACCTTGACTGTTGTTGTACGGTATGGGCCCGCAAATATGAAGCGTTCCGTTGAGAAACACCGGCTTTGCGAAAATAATACAGTAAGAAACACAGCTTCATCGGTGGAACCTACACTAAATTATACAAAATCCTATGCTCGACGGTGGCGACGAAATGAGAAATTGATCCTGGCCCCCGACTTGACGATTCTTACGTGCGGCCTACTGCCTGTGGGAAAAAAGACGCATGACAGGAGGTGGGCACCGAGCGACCGATTTCCCAGGACATTGTCTATCGACCGACACGACATTCTTCGGCTTGTTCCGACGTTTGCCCGCCCCTTGGTTCTTGCTTTTCGTTTCCATCCCTGTGAATTGGAACCGGGGTCGGGGCACGGCAGGAGATGGAGGAGGCGGGTGTCGAGCCCAACACAGTGGTGTACAATTCGGCGCTGGATGCCTGCGGTCGCGCGGGAAAGCCCAAGGTGGCCGAGAAGCTCCTCCGGAAGATGGGAGAGACCGGTGACCACAAGACGATCAGAGAGGAAATTCCGTTTCTCCGGAAATATCGTGCAGAGAGTCTCTGTGTTGTCGCTGTCGCGGCGTGGTCTCTTGGCTAGAGTCTCGAAGGTGGCTATGGCGTGCGGTGGTGGTGGACCAGGTGTACAAGTGGGTGGCGTTCGTTTGGCTGCGTCATACAGTGACCCTGCGACTACTACCGTGAGACGGGGGGGGTGATCGCACCCCCACTAGACCGGCTTTCATGGCATTCAATTGCTACGCAATCAAGAGGGTGCTGTCGAAACCGATCCACCGGTACGTCTAAGCTAGAGATCTTTCAAACCCACCCTCTTCCGGCAATGGCACCCTTTTGATTGCGGAGCAATCGAGATACGAAAGCTGGTCTAGGGCAGGTGCAATCGCTTGCTGTCTACTAGGAGTCTAAGCCGATGGTGTCGACATCTTGCGTGGTGGATATTTAACATGTAGTCTCTGTTTATCTCCATACTTTTTTGTCGCTCTGATGTTGCATGTTTTCCTTCTCGGGGGCAAGTCTGTTGCAGACTACATTCTTGCGAAGATCCAGTTTGTTTGGGCGTGTTTATGAGTGTTTTCTTGCCTCTTTATTCGCGTTCTCTCGTTCGTTATCTTCACGACCGCACAATGACCACCCGCCCCTCCAATAAGAACGCGTCTCGTTCGTTATCTTCACGACCGCACAATGACCACCCGCCCCTCCAATAAGAACGCGTCTCGTTCGTTATCTTCACGACCGCACAATGACCACCCGCCCCTCCAATAAGAACGCGTCTCGTTCGTTATCTTCACGACCGCACAATGACCACCCGCCCCTCCAATAAAACAGGCGTGGTCCGAGACGCGACGAGTTACACGGGAGCCATCGTGGCATGTTCCAGGAACGGGGACGGGGACAAGGCGCTCGAGTGGCTCGAGACCATGTCCGAGGAGGGAATCGCTCCCGAGGTGCTTGCTCGCGACAGCAGCACGCCGTCGTGGCGTGCTTTAACTCTGATTTAACCGTTGTGTACACGTGTCAGCGCGTGTCCCTACGCGTATGCAAGAAATGGCCCATCGAGCGGCCAGCTTTTGAGATTTAGGACGATCAGGAATGGTGCTCCGTGTCGAGAGGGATGCGTGGTCAACGATCAAAGCACGTACGCAAATACGAGATAGGCATGTACATCCGTCGATTTCACGTGAATAACCGATATAGATATATACATGATGTAGATTTTTAGTATCCCCCCCCCCTCCCCTCTCAACCTGGTCAATGGCCTAACCGCTAAAGGATGCAAAACATAAGAATACCCCCCCCC